CACTCACCTTCCCATTAAAAATGAATGGCCCCTTACTGATATATCAAGGTGCAATTGTGCTGGCTAGCTACCCCCTTTGGAGTGGAAAAATAATAAGACTAACTTACCTTTTTCGTTTATATCAACAGAGAATAGAGATCCTATTGCCATTATCATGGGTCCTGCATATGCGTCAATAAGCACCAGTGACAATGCCCTATTGAAGGCTCATGAGGACCTTAACAAGGCTCGTTCAGGCTCAGCTGAGAATGTCGATGAACTGGATAGCAAGTTTAGATTAATGTTGCTACTAAACCAGATAGACATGCAGCTAATGCACTCTTCAGTGCAAAAGATTGCAAAGTAAGTTGTCATTTCTTGTGCACTTTCTTTATCAGTAATTCTTATCTGATTATTTTATTTTATTTATATATATTTTTCAGGGAAGTCAGATTGAACCCAGAAGCTGTGCAGGTGAATACATAGATTCTTTTTTCCTACAATATTACAGCTTATTTCATGTTTCTACAACCTAATCAACTCCAAACATCTGTCATTTTAACCACAGTCAATCAAATTACAACAGTCCAAGTGCATTCTTAGTCATTCTGATTGCGAGTGATAAATATTCCCACAAATAAGTTTGGAATCTTATACTCCATTCACGCCAAGGCTTAAACATGTTTTAAAGTGGTTTAACTAAACAGGTTTGGAAAACTATCTACGAACACTGCACAATATTTGGTAAAATAATGCATGTAAACTATCCTTTGTCTTGCTCTGACAATATTTTACAAAGTTTCATTACATTGTAGGTTTCTAGTTTCTCAATTTTTTTCCTAATGAAAACATAGTTTAACTAAACACGTTTAGGTGTGAATGGGGTATTACTTTTAGGATCTTGATTTTGATATTCAGCTCAGATTCTTACATTTCTAGAAAACAAATTTTTGATTTTTCTCTGATTTTCTTGTGAATCTTTAATTCAAAGGATGAATATGAATTGCTGAAATCGTTTTCCGGCGAAGAGGAGAAAAGCTGTCTGGAGTCTATCAACTGGGTTCTTGGTAAGAATCATTCATTGTTCTTGCAAATCAATGTGAGGGTAGTACCATCCAATCAAAAATAAAAATAATACCACACCCATTGCTTCATCGTGTCTTTCATAAGAGAGAAATATCTCATAATCCGATTGATTGGAATATGATTATTAAATGAATCAAGTATAAGACACAATTGGCTGTCGTAACGTGAGTTTTTCACGTCATACGATGTCTCTTTCCTGGCATTTATTGACATCGATCAAGCCAGCGAGTCTTGTACCACAGGACAAAAACTAACCATGCTGACTTACGTTTCTTCTTCCCTTCAGATTATCAGTTCTCTAACGGATGCCACGCTCCTCCATGGCGCCAAGTCCATGGTGATATCAGCTATATCGCGGTGAAACCAGTCGATGGTGATTCACTGTTAGTTCTTGCTAGTACATCAGGATACTTCCTCACGACCAAGGACGCCCAGGGAGAACTCACATATGAAAGACAAGGCGATATTTTCCCTACTCTAGCAGCTTTACTCAAAACTAAAAGCCCACATTTTGCTTCGACTATTGATAAAAAGGCGAGTTTACAAAATCGCGTTGTCTGCAGAACACAAGAGAAGCACAAGCGCTCACAGTCAAAATTGATGACGTAAGCAAAATGAAATGACGCGCGCTCTTAGGTCATAAAACAAAATGACGCGTAAAAACAATTGTTACGTTGATCGCGCGCGCTTGGATTTAAACTGATGTAAAGATCGCGACAGCTCTTTGAGCCGTTTTGTGAAGCAATCGCAAAAAAAAAGTAGTTTACAACCTGCAACGCCTATAAATCATACCAGCGTTTTCGTTGCACAAGGTACAGAATTGTATGACTGAAGATGATTGACTACATATTTGAAGACTAAAGGTTTTGTTTTTATATCTTTTCTAAAGGAGTTTGCATACTACGGCTCTCTTGAACAGAAAAACGAGGCAGCAGATAAAGTTTACGAAAACTACAACGATGAAGAGAAACCAGAACAAATAAATGAAGACAACCAAGTTGACGCTATGAACAAAAAGAAGTAATGTTTTAGTAGATGACTTGACTAGTTGAGTGAGAGGGTTGTTCAGATAACTGGACTTGCAGTATTATGAAAGATCAGCCAGATAAACTAACAAGTATAGAAATAACTAGAAAATGAGCAAACCAGAAACCAAACGATCGACAAAAAAGAAGGAAATGACTGAAAAATAAAAATGGAACAAGGAACAAGCAAGCAAGCAAACAGTAAACAAAACAAACAAACAAGCAAATGAAATAATGAAATTAGCATCTACCGTTGATTTGTTTAGGTTTAGTTTCGTAACGAAGCAATTTTGAAACTACAACAACAACTGACTTTGTAACTTGATAAAAAATAGAGTTCAATGAGTAGAAATTGTTTTTTTAAGCCATAGTCAGTAGATAACCATGTTAAATAACTATCGTCAATGATTTTTTCAGCGAGCCTAAAAAGTCCAAAACATCGAAAACAACGCCACAAAAGAAGAAAGGAGGGAAAGGACGCGTTTTAGAGCCATCACAGAAGTGGAAAAATATTGGTTTTGGAGAAGATTTACTGGAGGCAGAGTAAGTGATTTTATTTAAACAAACGATACCATCAATAGTAAGTCCTAATCACAAATTGTTTAAAATAATATTCTTGATGATTGTCTATTTACAGCGAGAAAGATAAGAACAAAAGCAACGAAGAGAAGAAGCCATCTTCCAGATTCAGCAAAAGCAGGTACGAGTGTGTATCAGTGACCTGGTCGGAAAGACTTCTCTTATTTTCCCATTTTTTCTTCTCTTTAATATACCGGCAATGGTGCGTACGACAGTTACGCCGTGCGTTTGGGATTTTCATGTGTTACACTACCTTCGATATTACCGTGATAGACCTTTTCGACTTGGGTGTGATGTTTTCCCATTTCAGATCACGTGTCATTCTCTCGCGAATTCGAACCTTTGTTTGAGATGTATCCATCATGTGTTTTTACTTGATCAACCATTAAACAAAGACATTATTTTCTGGGGAAGGACACATGGTCTAAAATGGGAAAACATTACGAAAGTCCTACTATATAATTACTGGGCTACCAGTCTAAAAATGCGTCGTGCGTCTCTGTTTTTCCCTGTGCAAGAAAATAAAAAAGTTGCGCAATCGATACATAGAAACTGCTTGTTTTCACGTTAGAAATAAAATCTCTCTATAAAAAAAAAGCAATAAAGAGCCTCTGTGTGTTTTTTCAGGGAGGGTGGTAAAGAGACAAGACAAACAATGCGATCTCAGTTCAAAGGTGACTTCGATGAAGACTTTAGTGAGAGCTCATCAGAGAGTGAAGAAGAAGACGAGAATCAAGATCGACGACAGGTATGGAAAGTGTTTTATTCTGGTTCACATTATGTGGTATATACATGTATGTAGGCATACACATCAGAAAATATAGAAGAGACAAGAACTGTTAGTCTCCCACGCAGTCGCTATTAGCCTCGTCACGGAAAGTTGTGTGACGACCGTACTAGCGGTTGCGCGTGACATACGAGACTAATGAAATGTGGCCTTGGTCGGATCACTTCTTATATATTAAAATCTGTCCATACCCTTAACGTACATAGCTGCTATAAGCTATTTCTGAGTTCTACGAACCAAGTGTATTGTGGTCTGTCTTGGGTACTAACATCACCACACAAGGTGTGAAGATCTGTAGGAGAATATACCCAAGCTAGATCAGAATGGACCCTGTTGGGTATCTCTAGGGTAATGTAAAAGTAAATAGCTTCTTCATGGAAAAAGATCTTGCTTAATCATTACTAAATCAAATGTATATTTGTTTTAGGAATCCAATGCTGACTTACCCTCTGAGTACTGGCAGATACAGAAACTAGTCAAATATTTAAAGGTATGCGGGAAACGTTTGTAATGCCTTGGCGGGATTGTGTCTTCATCCCGAATCCACGAGTAAATGATGATTTTTACCCCATACCGTTGAAAATACAGCCAATCAGAATGCAGGAAATCAGTTGCATATTCGGCAGTATTCCACTTTTGCTTTTTACCAGACATAGTGGTATTTCCAATCATGTAGAATAAAATACTATGCCTCACGATGCCACACAACTTTCCTTTGATTTTCTTGCTATCTTTCTTTTTTGCATTTTCCCAATCAATCTAATGGCGGTTTTTTTTTGTTTTTGTTTTTTTCAAAACTAGAGTTTTAATTTCGCTGACGAATTTCGCCTTTGCTGTTGATAATGTTGTTGTTTTTTATAGATTTCATCGTTAACCTAAATTTCTAATAATCAACCTATCATTTTCCAGGGAGGAAACCAAACAGCCACTATTATTGCATTGTGTGCTATGAGAGACTTTAACCTAGGACAAGAAACATGTCAGCTTGCTATACGAGATGTTGGTGGACTGGAAGTCCTTATAAACCTACTGGAAACTGAAGAAATCAAGTGCAAGGTATATTCCCTTCCTTTCCCATCTGCAATTGGACCCTCAATGCTCAATGACCCTCAATGCTTTCTGTTTTTCTCCTTTTGCTAGATTGGTTCGTTGAAAATCTTGAAGGAGATTTCCAAGAATATCCTAATTCGAAAAGCCATTGCAGATCTTGGCGGTAAGCGATAAGATTATTTTCAGTTAAATGAGGGAGGGCATGCGTCGGAGGCAGGAAGACTGTGTTTAACCGTCTTTAGTTGAACACCCAATCTTTTGCCTTTCCTTCTGCTATACTAGTCTCTCTCGCAGCCGTTTTTAATGTGGTCGCGCAACGCGTCGCTTAACGTGACGACACTAAAAAAGGCTGTAGGGGAGACTACTCTGCTACATGCCATCACCTCAGTTTAATCTTCTTTTTTTCTCCTAGGTCTACAAACTATGGTTAAAATCATCCAGTCTCCCAACAAAGAACTCAAATGCCTGGCTGCTGAGACTATCGCTAACGTAGCTAAATTCAGACGGGCTCGAAGGACCGTCAGACAGTATGGAGGTATAAAAAAGCTGGTAAGTGCATCTTTGAAGCTGGTTTAATTTGGACTATTTTTTTATTAAAAGTAAATGTTTGTGGTCAATAACACATAGTTTTTCTTTGTTTTTCTTTTTTCTTCGTCTACCTTTCTTGTGTATTCTTTAATTAGCTAAAATCGCAATACGTTTTAGCGCAATAATAATGTTTTTAATACAAATAGCGAGGAAGGAGTAAAAAAGTGACGAATGTCCCGTTCACAGTTCTCTGCGCCATCTTGAAAGGTCCGTGCCTTTGCATCGAAGCGAGACGAACGGTGAGCTTGCAATGATAGAGACCTTTATTTAACACCTTGGACAATCATTTAGATGTTTCTATCATTGCAAGCTCACCGTTCATCTCGCTTCGATGCAAAGGCACGGCAATCCTTTCAAGATGGCGCAGGGAACTGTGAAATGACTATTGAAGCAAAACCAAAGATTGGGTACCCTGTGGTGAGATTCAACACGGCGGGAATTGATCACGTGATGTACAACAGCTTCTCTCCCATTCAACATTTCTATAATCCATTTCTTCCAGGTCAGACTGTTGGATTGTGGTCTTCTAACCAATGCTTCAGATATCGATGTCCAAGTAGCCCGCTGTGGAGCCCTGGCCTTGTGGAGTTGTAGTAAGAGCACCAAAAACAAGCAGGCTACTCGAAAAGCTGGCGGAATACCGCTTCTTGCTACACTATTGAAATCCAAGAATGAAGAGATGCTTATTCCTGTCGTGGGTACTTTACAGGAGTGCGCTTCGGAGGTAAATATTACTGACATATTTTACGAAGCATTCATAATATAAATGTACTATACTTTTGTGATTTATTCAACTTTACCACTCTGAGGTGGACGGAAAGCATGAGTCCTAACGCGCGATCTCATTGGTCGAAATGCTATTTTAGAATATGTCTTAGTCATATACGCTTCTCGTTTTTTTCTCAGCATCACGCGTGTTTAGATCAGAGTATCTATAACAAAAAATCTTTTTTACATCTTTTTTTTTTTTACAAAACAACTAAGGAAGCCGTAAAATAGTTGTTTAATTTTTTAAATGTATCCTTTTTGTTTTTGTTGTTTAGCCTACATATCGATTAGCCATACGTACCGAAGGAATGATTGAAGATCTTGTCCACAACTTAAAAAGCGAGAACCAAGAACTACAGATGCATTGTGCCAGTGCTATATTCAAGGTACGCTTACATGCCATTATTCTGTTTTCTTACGACTGTGGGGAACGTGTGCCACAGATGTACCGTGCCGTGCCAGTAACGTTACAGTTAGGCCAGAAATGATTATACGCACTGTGATGAATGGATTCCATATCTGACTCCTTTTTACCGTGACAGTCATATTCAGAGCTGTTTTCTTACGACTGTAAGAAAACCTGTGCCACGGATGTACCGTGCCGTACCAGTATCGTTGCAGTTGGGCCAGAAATGTATGACTTGTATGACTTCTTACCCTGACAGTATTTCATAAGAAATGTGCCATTAGCTTATCTACAATATACTAATATCTTCTGTACTCTTGTTTATTCTTATTTTGAGCAAAATGTTTATTTCTTTCATTTTCCCACTTCACTTTCTATTCAGTTTGCAATTTTATTTTCATTTAGTTTCTCATTATTCAGTACCCCAATCTATTTCCCCAGTAAGTTTCCATTCCATTTTTTTATCCTGTTTCTAACTCCATTTCCCATTCCATTTCCCATCTTATTTTTATTTAGTTCCTCACTACAATTCCGATTCAGGTTCCCATTAAATTTTCCATCCTGTTTTCCATTCCATTTCCCATTCATTTTTGCCACATTAATCTGCCTGTTCCTAACAAATCTTATATCTTGTAACAACTATTCAGTGTGCTGAAGACGAGGAGACTCGTAATCTAGTACGTCAATATGGTGGCCTGGATCCATTAGTGTCATTACTGACTAATGTGGATAACAAGGAACTACTCGCTGCTGCTACTGGAGCTATATGGAAATGTTCTATCAGTCCTGAGAATGTCAGCAGGTTAGTGAAATCTATAATCTAACTTGATAATATTTTGCTTTCCTAATCAGTATAAAGTCACACACCCTTCCATCCATCCATCCATTAAATTAATCAATCTTCTAGTCACACAAACAATCAATCACTCTTTCACTTACTCACTAACTCTTATTCGTTCATTTTTCATTCGTTGATTTAAAAATTTTATTTGTTTATGTATCCGTTCGTTAATTTAATTTATTTATTTATTTACTCCAGGTTTCAAGAGCTGAAGGCCATCGAACAGCTTGTTGCACTATTAACAGATCAGCCAGAAGAGGTAGTCTTGAAGAATCAAATGCAGTACTTTGCGCGCCCAGCAAAACAATGGCTGAAAAGTTCCTGAAAAGTTAGATCTTCCCCTTTCTCTGCCCCTTTCCACGTGTGATAGCCAATTATAAGAGTGCAATACTCCTACCCACCATTCCACATGCGATAGCCAATCATAAGAGTGCATTTCTCCTAACTACCACTCCACATGTGATAGCCAATCATGAGAGTGCATTACTCCTACACATCTTTCCACATGTGATAGCCAATCATAAGAGTGCATTTCTCCTAACTACCACTCCACATGTGATAGCCAATCATGAGAGTGCATTTCTCCTAACCACCTTTCCACATGTGATAGCCAATCATGAGAGTGCATTACTCCTACCCACCATTCCACATGTGATAGCCAATCATAAGAGTGCATTACTCCTAACCACCTTTCCACATGTGATAGCCAATCATAAGAATGCATTTCTCCTAACTACCACTCCACATGTGATAGCTAATCATAAGAGTGCATTACTCCTAACCACCTTTCCACATGTGATAGCCAATCATGAGAGTGCATTACTCCTACCCACCTTTCCACATGTGATAGCTAATCATAAGAGTGCATTACTCCTACACATCTTTCCACATGTGATAGCCAATCATGAGAGTGCATTACTCCTAACTACCTTTTCACATGTGATAGCTAATTATAAGAGTGCATTTCTCCTAACTACCACTCCCCATGTGATAGCCAATCATGAGAGTGCATTACTCCTAACCACCTTTCCACATGTGATAGCCAATCATGAGAGTGCATTACTCCCACCTTTCCACCCTTCATTGCCCAATGTGTAGCGGCTTTCGATTTCTTTCTAAACAGTTTGTTTATGTTTTCTTAGGTTCTTATTAATGTTGTGGGTGGACTGGGTGAATGTGCTCAGATCCCAGCAAACCGAACCGCGATACGTAAAGCAGGAGGAATCCCCTCACTGGTGAATCTGCTGACCAGTACAAATCAGGCTCTTCTTGTAAACGTCACCAAAGCTGTTGGCGCATGCGCAACAGAACCCGATAACATGGCGTAAGTATAGAAACATTACCGAATACTTAATTCTAAGCTGTAATTTTGCGGAAGCGACGGAAAAAAAATCAAAATTGTTTATTGATCTCGCTTTCTTCGTGATATGCATGTGCAATAGTGGGAACTTGGTTTTGCCCTATAATCCTCTCAAGGAAACACGTTCTCATAGTAATTATTTGTTTGCCTACAAAAAAAAACTAAACAAGAAGCTATTGACTTCTGACGGTGGTTCTTGTTTGTTGCAGTATCATTGATCGTCTTGATGGTGTACGACTGCTGTGGTCCCTCTTGAAGTCTAGCAATCCCAGGGTGTGATATACCTACACATTTAGTTCTATTCTTGTCTTTCTTTCTTTCTTTCTTCCTTTCGTTCTTCATTTCTTTCTTTCTTTCATTCTTTCTTTCTTATTTTCTTTCTTTCTTTCTTCGTGTGTGTGTGTGTTTTTTTTGTTTTTTTTTTTTTTTTTTTTTTGTTTTGTTCGTTGTTTTTGTTGTTATTGTTGTTATTGTTNTTCCTTTCGTTCTTCATTTCTTTCTTTCTTTCATTTTTTCTTTCTTATTTTCTTTCTTTCTTTCTTCGTGTGTGTTTGTTTTTTTTTTTTTTTTTTTTTTGTTTTTGTTTTGTTTTGTTCGTTGTTTTTGTTGTTATTGTTGTTATTGTTGACTTACTGTCTCACTAGTCCGTTCATCTCTATTTTTCCATTTCCAGGTACAGGCAAGTGCTGCTTGGGCCATTTGTCCATGTATAGAAAATGCAAAGGTAAATACCGTTGATTAGAAAAGTAAAAAAGCGGAATAATATACACATGGCCCTTTACTAACATGATGTTCTTGTTCACTAGGATGCCGGTGAAATGGTTCGTTCATTTGTTGGTGGTTTAGAGTTAATTGTCAGCCTTTTAAAATCCGATGATAAAGAGGTAATTTTTTGATCATTATTTTTTTATTTAAACATATTTAATTACATATTATTCCCAAGAGCAAAAACTCATCGAGGGGGTCTATATACACCTAATTGAAAAAACGTAGTAGGGTTCGAGAAGGTCATATCATCGAATCTAAAACCGAAAAGGATTTTGGGTACTCCGAAATAAGTATTATATTTGCATATAGACATGTGAAAATGCACAGTTGAGCAAAGTCGGTTGACCTAGATTAACAACATGCCAAAGCCATGATGCATAAAACGTGCAATACGCATGAAATTAGCATAATCGTTTGTCTTCCCATGCTCCCCTTCGGTCTTAGCTTTGATGATATAACCTGTTTTTGAGCCCGACAACCTTTTGCAATTAGGTTTATGTATTTGCACACGAAACTGAATTACATGGAGTACATAGGTCAATGAATAAAGAAGAGTAATAATACAATAAAGAGGTAAATGCTCCCTGTAGCATGTAGCATATTCCCAATATGTCTGCCTTCGCGGGTTACCGTTCGGTGTATGATATTGTTTATTTATTTTAGGTCCTTGCAAGTGTGTGTGCTGCCATTGCTAACATCGCTAAAGACGAAGAAAACTTGGCTGTCATCACAGATCATGGTGTTGTACCAATGTTAGCCAAACTCGCCACCACAGTAAGATAACTTTAACTCTTGAATATTCGAATCCTTATAGTAACATATTACCAACAGCTCGACTTTGTTTTTTTGTTGCTGTTGTTGTTGTTGTTGTTGTTGTTGTTGTTGTTGTTGTTGTTGTTAGATCGTCTGCTCTGTATTCCTACGTTTTACTTTTCTTTTATTCTGTTACCAGGCCGACGATCGCCTGCGGCAGTACCTAGCTGAATCCATCGCAAGGTAATTATTGCCTGTAATTACAGTATTGTCAGACCGTCAATACCGAGATACCAAACGCTTACTGATAACATTTCTAGTGTTCAATGACACAGCTGCTCATTTTTAAGGGGGACAGGGTCACGTGACCTGTTAGTGCAAATTTTTTACCCCCTTAAAAAAAGCCAAAACACTAGTCCTTGGACTTTCCAAGATACAACAGTTGCACCATATTTTAGCCGTAAGCAAACAACGACAGACTAGGGATAGATTATCTTAATATGGGAAATCTGAAAGAGGCTGAAAATAACGTGTCTTGCAGCTAAGGAATATTTATTTGAATTGTTTTTCCAGGTGTTGCATGTGGGGTAGCAACAGGGTGTTATTTGGACAGGCAGGTGCTGTACCCCCCCTGGTCAGGTATCTCAAGTCACCCAGTCAAGACGTACACAGGGCTACTGCGCGTGCTCTATACCAGCTGTCACGTGATCCCGACAACTGTATTTCCATGCACAACAGTGGTGTTGTTAAGGTAACTAATAAACGCTGAATAGAGGTATTTCTGGGTCCAATTGCTCACAAAAAACCGCTGAAAGAAAGCAAAAATAGTTCTTATATGATTTAACGTCCACCTGAAACAATTTGAATTTTGGGCAAAAAATCCTGTCTTGGAGAAAGAATTTAAAAATATATTTATATAACTGCTTTTGGTTTTGAACCCGGAAGTCGTTTTTCAATAAGATTATGGCATAAAATTTTCCCATTTAAAACTTTAAAAAAAATAATAGTTCATCTTTCCTTAAAAGTGAGATTCAAGAGTCTCACCCTAATAAAAACTCCAATGGTTTCAATTATCTGGCATTTTGATGGAAGCTTAAAACCCAGACACCCAGACGTCTTGGGCTAGCTGTGTTGGTTGGTAAAAATTTAAAAATATATATCAAACCCACCACCTATTGTTAGATTCTTCCGGGAATCGACTGAAATTGTAGTATTCAGAAGCACTGATCTACATCTCCTCTTTCAGCCCTTGTTATCCATGGTTGGGTCAGAAGATGATATCTTACAAGAAGCGTCCGCGGGCTGTCTGAACAACATCAGAAAGCTGGCACTAGCAAATGAGAAAGCAAAATACCGCTGACCAGATTCGTAATTTCCTAAGATTTCTAGACAAACTTGCACTTGTACATAGGGTAATAAGCCTTTCACATCATCCAGAACCTTCATTTTATTATATTTTTTCCAAAAATGGAAAGAAAGCTAATCTTTTTAGTGATTGTATATACACGTCAGGCAGCTAGTTTTTTTAGTAGTTCTCTGTTTATTTTTGTGTAATGAAAATGTTTTCTAAACAATAAAAAGGGTTTTTACTGACTTGTCAAGGATTTATTTCTGGAAAATGGATATTAGGTCTACACTGCATTTTTAAAGGCCGCTGAACATATATTCGAACCCTGTTTATATTTTATTTATTTATTTATTGATAGTGCGCAAGTGTCAATTTAAAAAAAGTAAATCAAATGCGCATTATATATTACGCCTTTTCCGCAATCACGCGACCAACACAGCCGTCAATGTTATAAACTAATTACGATTTTGAGACGACAATACCACGAAATATTGACGGCTAGTTGGGTTCGCGACTCCGCCCAATACCGAATATATTTTCTCACAACTAGCCGTCAATACTTCGTGGTATCGTCGTCTCAAAATCGTAATTAGTTTATAATACTAATTTTCAGGCCGCTGAAGTATTGATTGACGGAAACTAAAAGTCCTGGGTTTTTTTATTTATTTTCAGTTCCTACTTATTACGCATGTGCCTACTATTGTGATTGGACACTATTGTGTTAAAAACTTTTCACAATTTACACGCTTGCTCGATAATTCCCACGAGCCATGCACTGCACGAATATTCACGACTACATACCCGATCAAACTTGACGCTATATATTTATTAGTCGATGGTAATGTATTCATAATATATATCACCATGTGAGGCGCGAACATTTTGGATTCTCGTAGCCGTTGTTAAAACTTTCATGCTACCGATAACAGCTTGTTCTCATTTGGAACGAAAGATATATGGAGAGAAGAGCCTTTCTCCTCTCTCCAGTACCGTTACAGTAGGTACATTCTGGTTTTCCAGGTAAGTTGAGCCACTTTACCAAAGTTTCAAACTATATGCATAAGATACGTTTATTATCAGTTTTCTAAGGAGGACTATCTACGAAAGTATTATTGATAGTCTCTATAAATCTTAGGTTATTATATAGCTAGTCAATTAAAGTAAAAGAAACTTTGTTTTTGCCTTTATACAAAGCTCGTTCGATCTGGTGTCGTTTATTATAAGGCGAGGCTGGAAGGTCAGTATGGGCGATATAAAACTCGAGTTTTTTCCCCCGTTATTTCAATTCCGTTGTTATAGTCCATCTTAACCTGACATTACTACATTGTTCCAACAATTTTTTTAAATAATGTATAATACAGTAGTTTCATTAAAGCAGCCGCTCTTTATATCAATAACTACCTATTATTGATGGTTTTCACGGCGGCCATGTTGGAGGAACAAAAGAATTGTCAATGAATTTTTTTATATCCTCCAACATGGCCGCCGTGTCTTTTGTTATTTAATTCTCTTGGGAATGGCTGAAAACCATCAATTAAACCCCTCCAACTTGCTTTGATAAATTCATTTGGCGATTTTTGTTTATCCTCCTTACAAGAAGTTAAGGTGACCCTGACAAGAGACAAGTCTCTTGCTTTCAGCGTTGCATGCCGGGAAATAATCACATGACCATTTGTCGATCCTGATCGTCTTCAGTCGCCGATGATCACGTTACGAAATGTACTCACATTTCCATTCTCATTATTTTAGTTTTTCCCTATTTCACTATGACGTCACATCAAAACAATCTATTGTTTAAACGCAAAGGATCATGGTCGTCGGAGGGGGTCAAATCAACGCAAATTCACCGAAAATTGTTCTAAAACCCGTATCAATCCACGAAGAGAAGTAGAATAGCTCAGAATATTTTTTAGTACATATTAACACATATTATATCTGAAAACCAGGCCAATTTAGATTAAACTGTTTCGCTAGWAGCAAMTTTTGTTGAATTTTCTATTGRATTTGGMGATTCTATMCCCCACATAAACAAGCAGTGACGTCACAGTGAAATAGGGCAATTCTTTTTTATTTTTATTTCTAAAGGGTAGTTACCAATAGCCATATTTTAAAAAACTATAGAACTTCATAGTTTCTATTCGTTATTGCACAGTTCAAATGAATACTAGTGACGAGGTTCGTGGGCAAAGGATTGTGGGATTGAATAAGAGAATTCGAGATCCACATACGGTATTCTAAGAACCACATGTCCATTAACCAATCTTCCTTACAATAACTTTGAAGACACGAATGCTATTGGTCATTGGTGTTTACTATTACTATCTACATGTGTTAGATCTAGCTACAGCGAATTACAGCCTAGATACAGAAGAATCAGGCTAGCTAAATTAATTTACAATTGAATTGAATACTCGGTCTAAGGTGGAGTGTTGTTGTCACTGTCCATGAGTCATTTCAATCGATCCAAGCATCGAATGTTATGGTACAAAATGCTCGTTTCTTCGTCAGTCAACTCGCTCCAGCCATAGAATGTTTTCAAGTATCGAAATTATTTTCAATTAACGCTTGCATGCTATCCACGGATCTAAATCCTCTCAAATAAGCAAAGGAATGCATGGCACGTTGGTCACTAAGGCAGCAACCAAAGGATACCATCTCAACATATTACAGTTTGTCTTTGTTGAGTTCCCCGGATTGCAAATATCCAAATTTCTTTTCTTAGAACTATTTACAGGTGTAGACATTTACTAGCTGCTTACACTTCTTGCACTTCACCTCACAGCACCACAAAAAAAAGCAGTCGCAATTCCTCGTCACCTTGGTTTGCTGCACATTGTGTCCTCTTCCACAGCACAGCAGCTCACATCCATCAATTCCCGAAGACGAAATATTGCATTCCCGACCCGATGTACCCAGAAAACCAGACTTCGGGTCTGGATCGCAGAAGTTCGGCGAAGGTTCGTAGTAGATCAAGTCGTTATCCGAGGGTCTCTTGAATTGCTTGTACAAAGGTTTGAGTCGCTGTTTTCCCTTTCGATTGAGTTTGATCGTCATCTCGACGGCGCTGTTATACTTTTCCTTTATGTACTCGCCAACCTGACGAAAATGTGGCTGCTGAAGCCAGCACGTTCGCATTGAGCAGGACCCTGATAAGCCGTGACATTTGCATTTGCGCCACATTAGATGAGATATCGCCTGCAAAGGCGAAAATTAACATTAGCTTGAAAATAAAAGATCGAACAGTTTCAAATATACATTGCCTTTGCAATCAGTACCGTTACCCGAGAATCAAGATTGCTACGATTTTTATAGCGACAAGTAAAATCATTTATTAGCTTAAAATAAGACACTATGGAATGAGAGTTAAAATTGTTAGCATCAGTTGCCTTTTAATTTCCTGTCGACAACTCATTTTACTCAACTTGGTTTTTCCATGTCGTTAATTTGACCATATAAAAAAGCACTCAAATGTTTTCTCTTTAACCAGCGAGAAGCTTACGATTTTCTTGTTAATGGAATTTGAGCGATAAATGTTTCTATATATAGGTATAAGGTTTGACGGAGCGAATGCCATCGATTAGATATCAGAATATCTTGCAATAAAAAAGCATGAAAGAAAACTCGTGCATTCAGTGCAAAAGCTATCAAAGTAGAGGCAAAACTAACGCTGAAAAAAAAAACACTTATGAGTCAAAGATAGCTATTTTTTGACTATCAGATCCTGATGGAAGTCAAGTGATAACAGAAAGACTTGTTAGCATACGAAAAAAGAGATATCTTACCTTTCTTCCTGCTCTGCTGTTATGTCGATCCATAATCGATCTCAGCCCATTCCCACGTTCTTGAGCTTCGGTAAACTGTTTACTAAAGGACGTCCCAAATTTCACATTACTATTGCATCCTGACCAAGTCCACTGTTTTCCTGAAGAACCGCTTTTTGAGCGATCACAATCACAGCTCTCGATATTCCCCGAAGAACAGGCTGCAGTTACTGAATGCGCCACGCCTGCTGCTGTGATGGCGTGCACGAATGCGCCCTCTCTGCAAGCTAACAGCAAGAGACAAAATAGCACGGGTTAAAATAAGAAAGTGCGGGAAACTTATTTAGGTAGTGAAACACATTATTCTAGATCTTTACCCCTTTCCTTTACCCGCAAAAACCAACTTTAAATTCCATTCTAGTCCTGGCATGCATCGAAATCTTGTTAATCACGTCTGGCTCGAAGTAAGTAAAATCAGAAGTTATGAACTTCTGGTAAAATAAATTTATTTTTTTACGTAAAAACAAACTTACAAATTTTAACAATATTGAAGTCTTTTTTCCCAACAATTATTATATAAATTTTAATTTTATCAATAAACTCCTAAGGAAGAATTTCATGAATTGATTATACTAATTCATTTTCTTCGATAAGGTCATAAGTATACATTTGTGCAGATTTTCTGATCGTCAACATGTATTCCCTTCTATTTGTATTTTGCCTGTGAGCTTCGTTCGTTAGTCCATCTTCGGACGTGAATGATGCATAGAGATAAGTAAACGAATGATTTACTCAAATGCAATGTTCAACATATTAGAAGGCCATCAATTGATAAGAACACTTGAGGAATTTGTTAGAAAAACAAAGGGTGTTTTGGTTGGCACGTTTTTAAATTCCTTATTTGAAATCCTGACGATAACTAGAAGAACACTGCGCGTTTTCACAAACACTGTTGATCAGTTTTGCATACGAAACACGCTCACCGTTGAACAAAATATAATGGTTCAAAAATGTAGAAAAGTTTTCCATACTTATAAGTCTAAGTATTTCGTACACACTTGAGAAAACCTATGAATAAATGATCGATTATCCAGGACCTAGAGATTTGAAAACCAAAAATGACTTTCTAATGCGTTTGGGAAGGATATTAATGATGTTATTACAATCAACTGAGAGCAATCCGATTAAAGCTAACGATGCTACTAAGTCTGAAGCTTGGGCGGTCTAAAGCTATTGATAAAACTTTGGTATCTTAGTCTGGGCGTCGGTAACTAACTGATTTGCACTGCACCATCAACTATCTATCTATTGAGAAGAAAAACGTCTTTGAGAATGAATGTGATAATGAATGAATGTGAAAATGAGTTAAACTTGACTTCGCGATAAATCATCGCATAGTTAGGCATTGGCAATACAGCTTAGTTCTTTAAAGAATATAATACATGAATTTTAAATTATCTATTGAAATGTGTTGATACAAGAGTCTGTGGGAAACTTAAAATACTGTGATGTAGCAAGACCACGAAAATAATTCAACGAACCATGCAAAAGAAAAAAACTTTATATAGGATAAGGAAACTATAGTTTAAATTTCCATCTATTTTGTGAAAGAAAAGAAGGTTTAATTCGATTCCTTGAATTATATTCTGGAAGTGTAAAGCCGACATCTATCAAAATGAAAGCATCTTCCATTAAAATTCCCCGAAAGTTTTAATGGCAGATGCGTACTATTAGATCCGGATAAATTTATTTTCACATCGCGATGAAGCTCGTTGACGATGATTTCAGTCGCGTTTGTATTTTTTGGCGAACCTTCCCGACTTATTTTGTCATCAAGCAAATCAGGTTCTGTAATATCCCTGAAGTGTGGATGGGCTGTTTTCGTCACAGGACTCCCACCCAAGAGACGTATTATGCCTTGTCAACAGTACAGACTTTATAACCATTTATTTCCCTAAACAATCAAATAATAGAACCTCTTCCAAGCACTCTCTGCATGGCGTTTCCTGATTGAAACCTCCTCAATAAACCTCAAAAAAACTGTCTATGCTTCTCTGTCGGTGGGAATCAGTTTGAGATTTACGAAACGCTTGCAAAACAAAAGGCATAAATCATTTTTAAATCGCTCGAAGAGTGAAATAAGATCAAAAAATCAGCAAGGGACAGGACAAGGTGAAACAATCCGGATCAAATTCGACCAAAGAGTCGTATACACAGAAGTAAAGTGATTGTAAAACGCCAAAAACAATGATTGATATCCGTGGATTGTCAAACATCTTGCAACCATGTAAGGTCACTTCCAAGTAATATTTCTATAGAAATTCAAAGTTGCCTTGACATGAGAAAGTGAACGTCAGTAATAAGAAGTTCATAGTTCAAAAATTCTGAAGAAGAAAAATTTCTCGTCTGATTAGTGTTTTGCTTATCATATCCACTAACGTTTTTATGAACGATCTATTCTGAAACATATTCTGGAGCATTGTGTTACCACTCCCATCGAGGGTTTCCCTTTAAGCAGGCATAATCGATTTGTGAGAAAAAATTCATTGTAGTTTACTAGATATATAGTGTTCTGAATTTCGCGCGATTCATCGCCAAATCTATTTATCCTAGACCATATTCACCATACAAACTCCGTAAATTTTCTAACTTTTAACAAGCCCTTATAAACAACTAGGCAACTACCTATGTAAGCCATTTTTGTGTGTTTTTAAAAGGTTTTTACAGAGTTGTTGAACTTGAGTGGCTTTTAGTTAGAATGTTTGACTGTTTCTTCCCTGACAAATAAACATCGTGCTAGCAAAACGAATATTTCCCCAAATGTAAATAACCCTTCAGAATTGTCACCTTAAAGCTCTCAAGAGTCAAGATCATCGTTGATATTAGGCTCAAGTAAGCTCATTTACCTTTTTGAAGGGCTGATCCAAACAATGATCCCGATTCTTTGATTGTAGAACAGTTCCATCGCCGGTTACGAAACTGATGCTGGCACTCTTCAACCGCATACTTAGCACCTGAAGCAACATGTGGCATTAGAGAAGGATGCTTGCGACAGGCTTCGCGTTGTTTAACGTTTAGCTCCGGTGTGACAAAACACAACATTGCCTTTTTAGATGGATCTGAAGATGCTATTTGAGTTCCTAAAGTCCTGTAAAGTGGATTGGAAAGTATTTAGTTGAGTGCTAAACGATTTATAACACGGAATCTATCTCTCGATGAAGGGTCAAGGTAGCGAGCGACTAAGGCACTAATAAGGTAACATCAAGTCTTCTTCCTACTTACCACCAAACAGCTCGTACTGGAATCTCCATGCTTGCACAAATCGTTAAAATCACTAAAATGAAATTCTTCATGTTGGTATTCGTGAAGTTGGCGGTCAAAAATCTCATGCGTTTGTTGTTTTGCGATCTGTCAAGAAAGTTTTCACTAGTGTGTTTGGGTTCAGGGCACGTCTCCCAAAAGGCTTAATCTACCATCGTATTTCAATCAAAGTGAATATAAAAGGGTTGCATTTGGAATTACAGAGGTGTCAACGGCTTTACGCACTGTCATTCATAACTATTAATAAGTGGTCACTCAAAATGTGATTAAAAAAGATCCGGTCAGGACAAAAACTGCTCAAATTTTACCACGTAAAAAAAAAATTAATGAAATACAATTCTCGAGTATTTAGGTAAACCCTACAGTATTAAAATACCGAAATGCTATATCTAAAGGAGATTAAAGTTTATCAAGATGTTTTTAAGCGAGGGCTAGGAAGATTTTTTCTTTAGAAGTGACTTACTGATAATTAAACGAGGCTGATCCTAAATTAACAGTCTCGACTAAAAGTAAACGAATGTTTAGGACCTGACATTGAAAACATATTAAAAAGAGCTCATCCAGGCATTGAATAGAAAATCAGTGGAGAAAGTTCTAATGAGTTTTAAGATTGTCCTCTTATCGAAGGAACCCTGTAGCTTAATTACTACAACTGTCAACAAGTTTTTTTTTTCAAGTGTAGGATTCAGAGGTTTGTTTACAAATGAACGCGGTATCGGCTCGCAATGAATCGACCTCTCAAACGTTCGCGCTGTTCCTGAGTTCGGATTAAAAAGGAACTCGTGTTTTTAGCATCGTTTTAGGGCGTTTTTGGGGCGTTCTTTCCATGATAAACCAAATGGTCAAGTAATTAAGCAGCGGTGGTTACAATGGCTGACATATATCTCACAATTAATCAATTAAGACGATACTTCACTCGAGTGACCTTGAGTGAATGATTAAGTCAAGTGGTGTGAATAAGACCACCGCTTTCAAAAGGTGTCAAATGGAATTGCGTTTGGTCTTCATCACTTTCGTTCAAATAAGCTCTCGAAAGCACAAAGAATGGCGCTCAAATTAACTCAATACAATTCGTTGCGAAGTCGATGAAACCGGAAATAAAGTTTATTACCTAAGTAAAGAAGTTTACTCAAAAAGAAGCGGTCTTCTTAAGAAATGCAAATTTGCTAGGTGAAAAATAAAATGATGTTCTAAGTGGTTTGAAAAAACTAGCTTTGTTTATCTCGTAAACTAGTTTTTGCTGTTGACACAACCGTTTATTGATATCTTACACGGTTATCCAACAAACTACCAACAAAAATTGACATAGCTCTGTGTTTAAAGGATTAGCGAATCTTTTAACCAGCTCAAAACTCCAATCTCCTTCATCTTAACCGGTTTTTCAACTAAAATTACTTTACGGTTTCAAAAATACTTGATCTTTATTATGAAACTCAGTAATTTATAACGATTTTCTTTTATATCGAAAACAATTCGGTAAAGCGTTGGTCTTGACAAACGGCGTTTTTCATTGCTAATTCCTTAAGAAGTCCGGAGATCAAACTAAAGTCTGTCCAATTCAACAGCTTTTTCGGATTGTGTAGTTTTTCGAACGTCCATCAAGGAAATTGCAACCTCTTAGCTCTTTGAACACGCCGACTTGGACTTGTCCATAGACTAAGCCGGCGCTTTCATTCATACCATTTCATACATTATGCAACTATGGAATTCGATTCTTGGAAACTCAAATTCGAGTAATCTTCAGGCCTGAATATAGAATTAAGCAAAACAATTGGAAGCAAATATTTCTTGGATGCCTAACCGTATGACTATAATGATAGTCCCCTCTATTAACTATGCTATAATTATGATTGATGAACTGTGCCTTGTGGCTTAATTAGTTTCTAACACAAAATCTGTCGCTAGAATTTAGTTAAAGAGAAGCTAATGTTCTCATAAATGGTAAACTTAACATGTAGTCAAGATGTCGTTGCCGCGTCAGTCAGTCTCGTTAAGCACGTGTACAACACACTAAGGTGTTTGGTGTTCTTTTACGCATGCATACTATTCCTTCGTCTCCACTCGGCGGCTTTGCGCGCTTATATGATATATAAACACGCTGGGAGCTGCAGAGCACTTGAGAAGCAAGATTAGATACACGAGGCGTAGCCGGGTGTTTCTCCTACTTTTGGAGTGCTCCACAGCTTCCAGCGTGTTTATATCACAGTACAGAGACACAAGCACCCGTATATTGCTTTTCATAAAATATTTTTGAGCGAATTTGCACCAGCGTGTCTCTGTCCTCTGATTTAAACACGGTAGCCAGCCAATCAGCACACGTGTTATATCTCATATATTTTATAATAGTTACTACTAGGTATGGTTCCTGCATGCCTAACAAGTCAAATAAAACATGGCATCGCATTTAGATAATTCTCAAAGGCCAAAATCAAATCGGTCCGGAAGTTAACTGATCGAGTCTTGCCAAACATTTATGGGCGAATACTGAGTACCTTTTCCAGAACACACCATTTCCAGAACTGCACAATTTCCAGAACACCCGATACCATAAAAAGCGTTTCTCAACTTAGTACTAACTAGTTCGTGATTAAAATATGCAAAGAAATTCATTTTATTTAGCCATCCTCACAGACTGGACTTGTGTTAAATTTTAAACTAGTGTTAACTGTTTGCACACTGAAATCAGGGTACCTAATTCTCGTATCTAAGACCCTGTCCATATGAGACGTTCGCAATCGAAAGCGCACATTTTCTAACGACGATAATTTGCGATTTACAGCGATCTCAGTTTTTACTTGACCATATATCGCATAAGAACGATATAGGCGATATGAACAATACTAGAATAGAAAGAGCCTGGACTGATGAGCATGGCATTGCGTATGTTTGCGAAGACAACTGCATCATTCAAACGAATGAGCCGAGAAGTCGGCAGTAAATGGTGTACGCGTTTCGTACTGATGAACGTTGAAATTACACGAAGAAAATAGTTTTCTGGTAGAAATGAATTAGACACAAAATAAGGATGTGCAGGAAAGAAGGTTATGTATGTGCGGCATACAACCATATTGCGATAATAAGTCTAAATATGTCACAAATAATTGTAATCAATTGTAATTTATCAAACCCTGTGATATGAGCAACACACGTACACTAACCGCAGTACTCAAGTACCAACACCACAAGTATAAGCAAATCCAATTATCCCCAAGGAAATCCGTTAGAAAAAACTGTGAAATGATTAAGAGTTCTAACGAGATTAAATTAAATACACACGTGCAAATTTTGCGGTAATTCTGTGGTTTTCGTGGGAGTGGAAATCAAAGATGGCGTAGAGGTAGAACTGGCAACACTTAATTGTAACCAAAATCCAGAATCAGACAATGATATTTAACTTTAAACGGTCTGTTAATCGGGAGCTGCACACGTACCTCTATGAACGTGAGTACATCATTTATTTCTACAAATGCCATGCTTCCTTCCGGCTGCATGACGTACCTAGATCGATTGTGGCTTAAAATGTGACTTACTCCGGGTTTTTTGGTTTTCGTACTGACTCCCAACCTTTCTTTGGTAATTCCATTGATAAAAAGATTACAAGAACATCCAGGAAACCAACGTCTTATTTTATTCCATAAAATCACTCTTATCTACTTAGAAGTATTTCTTAGCAATAAGACAGTTTCAAATAAGACGTCCCTTGGTAGCATTCAGGTTTATCTCCACTGCACAAAAGTATAAGGTAAAATGGTACCTTACTAATAACAGAGGTATATAAAGTAGGACTAATATTAACCCACACACTCCCTGCTACACAGCGAAACTTTAATATCGAATTGCAAACATGTTTGCGAAAATGTTTCCCGCGAATTGCTTTTTACTCCGACGAAAACTTGTGTCGCGGGGAAAGTTACAGAAGGACTGACAGGGGTTTCACTAAGGGTCGGGGAATGCTCCCGTAAAAGGGCAAAATTCTTTGGTAATCTGTAAAAAGTTTCACTTCAACTCTCCGGCTAGTTCTTGACCTTCTTCTATCATTTCAAAACTTAATAAAGCCCCTGGACTGAAATGCCTTGTGTAGTATCCATGGTTGAACTTGACTCGCACGAGCGCAACTGGCCATAAATATTACTTTGGTAAAAAAAAAAAAAACAGGCTGAAAAAGCGATAATGATACATCGACATATTAATAAAATGTGCACTGAATAACGTATCATTCTTTTCTCCTCTTCTGTCCTCGTCGACAGAGCGCCAAGCTGTGAAGGTAATCAGCCAGAGTCTCCAGTTATTTATCTTTTTTCTCTTCTTTATTCTTGTTTGCCTTTTTCCAGTTTCTTTCCTTTTCTTTCGCATTTTGGTACAACTCTTCGATATCGAAATCGCGTAAAATCTTTTCCTGTTGGGAGTGAAATAGTTTTTGATCAGCTTAAAGAATTCAATTTACGATCGCGATATGCTATTATTATGAAAAAAAAACATCATCATCATAATATAAACAAATTAGGACTCAATGAAAACCAATAATCACTGGCAGATTTTAGAGAGTGTCAAAGAGCCCCCCTCACTCCTCCCTCTGTTGTGAATGAAATCTCTTATCATAGTAAGGACTGCCTTCAAACTCCCCCCCCCCCCCTCCCACAGCAGAATTCCTGGATTTTCACACAAACATGACACACTCTCGGTTTTACGACTAACAGATAGTCCCCTACCTCTGTAAATGAATATGGAGCAACAACTGACTTAATGTTTACTGTTGGTCTTCTCTTTGTTTCTTTGCCTCCTTCGTATACAAGGATTGAAGGCACTTGTTTTGAAAGAACTGAAGAATCAATCCGATGCCTGTTGAAATTCAATTTGTTTGTAAATAGCTGGAACCAATCAAAATTTGAACCAAATCCACAGTAGCGTTAAATAAAGAAGCTTATGAGAAATATTTTCTTGAATGTTTTCTTTTTCTGAATGAACTGGCTGCAACACTGCACAATCGGTAATGGCCATATCCAATCTACTCTACAGGACAGAGGTGACCTCTTTTTCTCTTAGGGCACATGGGAACGTCAAAATTTTTGTGTGGGGGGGAGGGGGAGGGGGAGGGGAAGGGGTTACATTATTATTCATTTCTTCAAAACTCAAAACTAAGTCTTGCTTTCCTAAGACATGAATGAGATTTTTTAGAGCGTGCTCAGGAAGATTTAAATTTCTTGAGTACAACTATTTGTCAAAAGGCCTACAAAGACAAAACTAGTTTCCTAAAGGATCTTGATTTTGAATGCGCCAAATATTATTTTAAAGGTATCATTAAAAAAAAAGATTTATGAACTTCTGGGTGGTAGAAAAAGAGGATCTAAAATATATTTTAAATGTCAATTTTGTTAAACCCTTAAACATCTGTTGAACTGACAATAGTTTGTCAAGGCAAGTCAAGGCAAAACTTTCTCATAGACTAAATTAGACAGGTTTTTGGGTTCTGCAAAGAGAAAAACCTGATATATGTCAGAATGTGTGGATATTTTCCCTAAGTAAAAATAAATAACAGTCATTCTTACCTTTTAGCCACTACAGGATATTTTCCTGCATCTATCTTGCCAAACTTTAAAAACTCACAACTATATCTGAAATGAAAATCATCCAAAAAATTAGACTATTTAACAATTATTCACCGAAGACGAAGTGATTATCAGGGAATGTTCACCGAGACGCGAGTCTTCGAGCGGCGAGGTAAATATTACCCAATAATCACTGAGCCTGAGGCAAATAATTGTTTTAGTATAAATACACAGGTGATTCTTTCAAAAGAAGGAAAAGAAGAAGAAAAAAGGCATATTTTTCTGTTAACAGCAACAAAGCGGCTTGCCGCCATTTTGGATTTTCGCTCGAGGTGATTATCCTGTGATAGTGTGAGTTTCTTGACCAATCAGCATGTGAGATTTTCTATAATCACCTGCGTATTGTTACTAATACTGTGTTATTCATTATACATTATACTGTATGTTGAGTACTAGTTAAAGAGTCTCTTAAGCTTCTTAAACTTGATTTTCTAGAGTTGAAGAACATTTAAAGTGAACTCTAAGAATGAAAAATAAATCTTTTTTTCATTTCACATCATAACACAGGAAATTGTTGCCGAGTCTCCCTAGCTAGTTGCTTGATGTTACAACACACTCAACACTCACTACAACTACATTTTTGAGGAGAGAGGAAAACAGCTGGAGAACCTGGAGAAATCTCCTCATGGCAAGCAAGAGAACAACCCATCAAACAAACTCTATTCATATGTGGCGTATGCAGGACTTGAACCAGCGACCCAACCCGCAGGACTCAGTTCTGAACCAGCTATGTGGATAAACCTTTAAGGGTAGGATATAAATAAAATTTCAAGGGAAAAAGCTGTGTTTATTATGTTATCTTGGTTTACTCTCATGCTTTACACTTTACATCTCATATCACACAAAATGATGTCTACTTACTTGAGGGATAGATTAGCAAATATTGGTGCTAACCTCACGCACTGTGGTGACCAAGGACCATAGAATTCTACAATCCATGTAACATTTGGGTTGTGCAGAAGCTCTTCCTAAATAAATAATTGATTGATTTTGGCAGAAATTAATGGATTTTCTTCATGTGTTTTCTTTTAATGAAGAGTGTCTATATGTTTTCTATATTTAATGTGTTTTTTTTTTTGAATGAAGAGGGTCTATATTTTCAATATTTAACTTTTAATTGGAAGTGTAAGATCCGCATGAGCTAGTTTGAATGTATTGCACAAATTTTAGTTTTCTGCATGCTTTTCTTTGTTTTTGTTTTACCATAAGATATCCCTTAGGAATGGCTACTATAAATTCAGTTTAGCACTTTTAGTCAATACTTCAGTTTTCAACATGTAAGTGAATTTGACTTTAAATTTACTTTTTGGATTTTTTTGTCCTTTCACCATTTATGCAGCCTCATTATAGCTAGTTTTTTGTTTTTTTTGTTTTTTGTTTTTTTTTTGTCGTTCATAGTATTAACTGTACTATGTACGAGTTTAAGATACAGTCTGTAAATAAAGTAGAATTTACAGGAAGAATGACCCTCTTTTAAAGGAAAACATAATTAAGCATTTAAAATGATCCATCTTACATCAAGCCCTGGTCCTCTAAAGTATCTAACATTGTCCGGTCCTTTATAAGCAGGCTCTGGAAATATCAGGAATAGTACTGTAGAAAAAATGATATAAATTAGCAACTGTTGTTTTAGATAGTGACATGCAAATTTTGATGCAAATAAAAATCAAATGTTACAAAGCCATTTCAAGCTTACTACGATCAATATGTACCATAGTTCCATAGTTATACAATGGTTTTGAGTGTCATATCATACAATATTCCATGAGGTATTTTCTAGTATATGGAAAATCTTTTACTAAGAATGACAAGTGGGATAACATTGCATAACTATATATTTTTAAGATATTATGACTCAAAACCATTGTATAGACCCCCTGCATGTGACATTGATCTTTGGGACAAAACAATTTTACATAAGAAATGTTTTCAAATCTCAAGAGAAGAAAACTTAATTATTCTTCGATTGCAAATTATGTCATTGCAGCCTCCCGGGGGAACGTTGGTGCCATTTAACAAAATATTTCTTATTAGCATAGCATCCATTTTTAATGGCACCACAATGGCCAGAATGCTTTTGTTTTTTTACTCTCTTGGAAATGCTTCCAACGCATCAATTATTGCTTTGGCCCCGGATAAGGAATTAGTGCAAGGGGTCTATAATTTGAATATATTTTATAAAAACCACAATAATGTACTGATGATACCTACTCAGACAAATGACAAGATATAGCACCCCAAGTCTGATGTCTTGTCTCACGAACAGAACAAAGTTGGAAATCTTACAAAGCATGAATAACATGGACATAAACTCTTGCCAAGAAGCTGAAAGAAGAATCAAAAAGACATTCAAATAATACAAAAACCTTAATTCACAGATAAATGATATTTCATTAGTAATAATTATTTTTAAAAACTCTTGGCCAAGATTTGGAACAAAAAGATCCAGTATAGTATGATATAATAAAACTTACATTTAAGAATGGCCAAACCAATGATTCAAAAAAATATTGATTCATGGATAATTCCAGATTTAACGAGAAAAAAATATATACCTGGTTTTAATTTTCTGTTTTTCACAGCCAAGACAACTGCCAGAAAACAAAGAAGCTCCAAATCTTTCTGAAAATAAAGGGGAATTATAAATTCCTCGAGTTAGGTGTTAAAAATATATGTGATGCGATGACAGGCAGTGCATCAACACTAACCAGAGTTTGATTTTAAATGGTTCAAATAAACTCAATCGATTTAGTAATAAAGAAACCAAACAAACAGTAATAACACAACGAAATTTGAAAAACCTTAGCGTGGAGTTCTAAAGAAAATAGAAGACAGAAGATAAGAACGCGTTTGATACAAGTAGTAAATAAATCATCACAATCACTAACCCATTCCATCTCGCACTCATCGTTAGGAAAAAGCCACGTACAGAATGGCTGGAAGCTCTTCAGCACTGGATATAGACAGCACGACAAGGTATTCAAGATATAATGGCCGCTCAGAAGGATTTTTAGTTCTTGAATTTTCATCGTCCTGTGATTTCAAAACAACCACCACCATTCACATGGACGACTTTGCAATCGTTAGGTAGATGCAGCGTTATACTTCATGTACCGGTTTTAATTCGTATCCTAAGAAAAGATCAGTGCAAATAAACTTTTCATGAAGTATATGTCTAATTTTTGAAGTAAAGCGCTGACCATACATATCAAGGGCTTTCAGATCGCTTAAGAAACGGGTCCATATTGTAAAGGACAACTCCTCAATTCATTCTTTCTTTTATTAATTAGCTTATTTACATTCATAATATCATATTTTTATGGTTTAATCCTAGTTACGATACCTAGTTACGTTATTGTTTTTCTTTGTTTATTCCCGCTTTTGTTAGCGTTGTAAAATGATCCTTTAGCGTCACCACGCGCATATAAAAGGCCATAAGCGTCCCTATTAGCCAGTTTTTTTTCAAATAGTTACTCGTAAATATTGATTGTGTATCCAAACTCCTTTCGAATACGTTCCTTTGGTAAATCCTTGGTTTTTGGAGGCAAGCGGGATCGATATTTTACGTATTGGTATCAATAAATTTGCGTTTACTCAGTGATCGTCCTGGTAGCGTGAATATTTGGTATCGCTCGCAGTAAAGTTCGCYCGCAAAAGCATCTTAGTCAGTGGTCGCGACGCCTGGGACGTGGGATTTTCGTCGATACGAATCTCGCCTGCACGCCCTCCTCGGTTGCCCCAAGGCTAAAACGCTTACAGTAAAATATCGCGGCTCTCTAAATGTACCATTGATTTACGAACCTTCGTTTGGAACAGCGAATCCGCATCTAAGTGCATGTTTGGACAGCAAAATGAGCATTGTATCCACACCGGAAGACCTAAAATTCTTTCATCGCCACAAAGACGATAACATCTTACCACAAGAAACACACCCTTATGCATCATCTGTTGTCGATTGGAACATCAGAAATGAATCTGCTAAACGGAAGTCCAAGCTATCAGATAGAGGAAAGGTTTTCTTTAAGGAAACCAGATCAAAAAACCGAAATTTGGCCTTCAAAAAGTTAAAARGACAAATTGATCTTAGCAAAGAACTATGCAATCATCCGGAACGKGACGTAGAGTCGCTGGAGTCAGAAAGAAACAAATTAGACTCATTGAAAGATGAGCTTAATGAGGCGCAACGAGTATACGATGAGATCCTGGAAACGGAAACAGAAAAAGAAGAGTCYTACCGTTGGTTTGATATAAGAGATCGCGAATACACCGAATGTAGGTTAAGAATTTGCGAACAGATTCAAGCTTTCGATAGAGCCTCATATCGAACAAAGTCCGTAATATCCGGTGCTACGTCGCGTAGTACTAGTGAGAAATCTCGCTCATCAAAGTCA